AATAACAGCAAAAAATAAATATTTAAGTACTTCTTGTATTTGTTTTCTTTAATAATCTATATTTTCTTTTACTTTGATTCTAAGTTTGTGAACCTCCTAACATTGTTATGACTAAAATCATATTGTTATATACCTGTTTCTTTATTGACTTTAAACAAACTAACCATTTTAATTTTTTTTTTTTTTTTTTTTTTTTTGTCTTTGCAAATAAATATGGGAGACTCTCAAAAAGCAGTATAGATTATCTTGGGAAAAGAAATTGTTTCTTGTTTTTATTTCTGGTTTAGACAACTTTTGTAATTCATTGCTATAAAAAATAATTTGACAAAGTATTAATGAATGACTGAAATTCACCTGTTTGATTAATTTTTATGATGTGGACATTTGAATTCAATCTCATAAGAAGTTTTATAGGTATAGTTTTATAGTTGGTAGCAGTTTATTATATTTCTTGGGTATATAAATGAATAGGGATATAGCTCTTTTTATCTCTTTATAACATACACACATTATTATCTGTCTCTATAGCTTTGCCTTTTTGAGAATTATAGATTTTAAAAATGTTATTAATTACTTTGGAAAAAGATTTTATTTATGATAATTCCTATTTTTCAATCCTTTCTCCTCTATCTAAACAGGTAGTAATAAATCTCACTGACACTTCATCATAGGAATGCTTAAATCTTTGACTTTTTGGCATAAAATCAGTTGTCCAAACTGTTCTTCAAGTGGCTCTCTGTTTTTTTAATCTTCCAGATTTTTGTATTTGTAATTGTATCTCTTTGTCTCTTTATTTACATGTATAATTGTATTCATTTCTTTGCTTGCTTCTATTTTGGCTTCTATAATAGGATAAGGCATTTACTAACAAATCCTCGTTAAAGCTTACTAAATATTGTTTTCTTTTTATTTCAGTTAATTTTAAGTCCTTTATGAAAATTGCTTTAAAATTCAGGACATTTAACTTTATCTCTATAAATCTTTCTTGTATCTCATTATTTCACCCTTCAAAATGCATTGTTGTGCAGTCATTTGACTATTTCAGGCATTGAATATGATGGTGCTGAGAGGTTTTCAGCCTATCCAAAAGAGCCTTCCACAAAAAAAAAACTTTCTGATATTTGGTCAGATTTGGGGAAATGGAGCAATCAAAGAACTTTTCTGGACTTCCTCATATTTTACATATTAAATCACTGCAACAGTTTGTGCCCAATTAGAAAATTAAAAACAAAAATTTACATACTCACAAAAAACACTTATTAGTCAAGTACATAGTCTTCATTATTTTTAACAGCTTCTCCCATCGCTTTACAAGCTTGTTGATGCAATTTTCATAGAAACTTTGTTTTTGTTGGAAAGTTTGTGAAGTAGTTTTTGACTGACTGTACAGTGAAATTTTTTTGCCATTTAAATTGTTTGGTACAAACGAACAAATGAAAATCTGAAGGAACCAAGTCAGGAGAATACAGTCAGTGCTGGAGTGTTTTCTATTTTAACTCTTTAAATTTCTACAAGGTCTGTTTTTCAACATGCAGTCTTGCATTTCTATGGTGGAAATTGACACCTTTTCAATTTGCAAAAATTGGCTGTTTTTCATGAATAGCCACATTGAGATTAGTGAGTTTGTTGCAATACTTCTTTGCAGCTATTGTTTTGTTGGCTGGAAGAAGCCTAAACTGAATTATCCCTCTGCAATCCCACCAAATGGACAGAAACACCTTCATTGGATACAAGCCCACTTTAGCCACATGTTCTGCACATTCACATGCTTACTTCCAGCTGTTTGTGTTGGATGTTATCATAAATGATCCATTTTTCATCACTGATGAAAATTCTGTCCAAGGATAGCTCCTTTTCATAGTGTAACAGCAAAGGAATTGCCCCAGAAACAAGATCAAGTTTGTTCTGTCCCATCAGAGAATGTGGTAATCATGTGTCGAAATGAATCCAAGACTTTTCAATGGCAAAAGACAGTTGAGATATTGATTTTCAAACTCTTAGCAATCTCTTCTGTCAAAATCTTCACTTTATTCTTTACAATGACAATCAGAGCATCTTCATCGCTGTTGGAAGGTCACTCAAAGCATGTTTGATCCTTTAGATTAAAATCATCCTGACGAAATTTGCCAAGCCACTTCTTAACTGTTCAAAAAACTGGAACACAATCCAAATAAACTTTCTCAATGTTTTTTTGTTGCACTTCCGATGTTTACTCCTTTTCAAAATTTATACAGTTATAATATGGTGAAAATGCAATTTTTCATCCTCCATCTTTAAGGTATTCATTTGTTGACAAAATGTTAACATTCAACAAAGTCTGACTTGCAACTGAATGATGCAAGATTTCAATCTAGAACACATCAGAAATCAGCTCCAAAACAAATGCCAGTGTCAAGTTGCAGTCAATTTATATTAACAATAAAAATCTGGCACAAACTTTTCCAGTGATCTGATATTAAAGTGTAGCTCCATTGATTATCAATAATGGATTCTTTGAAAGTTGTTTAATTATCTTATTGTATTAAATTACAGTATATAAGAAGTGAATAATAGAAACCTCAAGATAAAAAAGCTAAGAAAATACTTGGCAGGTGAAACGTAATAAAAATTACTTATCAAATGCTTTGATTTCATTGGTTGAAATCTAGTCACATTTTAAATCCTTTATTAGACATTTTGTTTTTAGCTCAAATTTGAATATTTTATTTTTTTTTAATTTCTGGTAACAGAATAGTTCTTTTGGTAAAAGAAAATATTTAGTTGTTAAAGGTAGTAGAGTAGGCAATATATAAAGGCACATTGTTCGGTAGAGTTAGCTTAAAATAAAATGTTACCATAGTAATATAAAAGCATAGCTCAGTTTGTTACTTAAAACTGATTTTCAAAACTAATTGCAAAACATCAGTAAAGCTGACTTACATATGAATTAAATGTAAATTGAATAAACTGCATCGATAATATTGATTATCCAAGCATATGTATTTACTTTCAAAACCATTGCTTGCAAATATTATTTGATTTTATGAGTTATTAATCAATATTTTCTATTATTGACTTCCTTGAGAATGTATTTGCAATAGAAAATGATTTTTTTAAGAGTAATGTTAGCCACCTAAATTAAAAATATGTTATGGCTATTAAGTTGTTAAATAGATCAAATGTATATTTACTACCCAGCACAAGTATTGAAGTGGTAGCCTTCAGTTCATGTAAACTTGTACTTTAATAAGTTGACCTGTTCCACCTGCAGTTTTGCCCATTGAGTTCTATATAAACTTATTTTTTTTCCACTGAGGATATATTAATCTATTTACCTGGTGAAGTTATAGAAGATTAGATCAACAACAGATACTATTCTACAGAGAATAGAAATCAAACTTTTGATGATGTTTCTTATACACTGATGAACTGATTAAGGTGTTGGTCCTCCATTTAACTACAAAACAACTCACACACAATTAAGCATGGACTCTACAAAACCTAAAAGTTTGGTTTTGTGTCAGAATGTTAACAGCAGGTTCCTCAACTGCTATAAATCATATTTTTGCAGAGTGAACTTGTTGGTCCAACACATCACATAAGGACTCGGTTGGATTAAGTTCAGGGGAGTTTCAGTGGGGGGGGGGGGAGAAATAAATGAAAACTGATTTCTCAACAGTAATTTTTCTTGACGAATTTAGAGCTGTATTAGATGGACCTGAGGCTGGGCTAGAGGTTGGATCTTTCATAGAAATACTTGACTAACATAGAAGGACAACAGGAGGTGCAATGCTGTTTTGGATTCGTATTATTGGTAGTAAAATTCAAACTTCAGGGGCAATACTGATACCAGGATAAATTGCAGAGATTTATTTTAAATTCTTGGATAAGTTATTTTTTAAATGATACAGATCACAACCAAGATGCTTTAAGTTAAAAAGTATAAGTCATTAACGGCTGCAACTGGTCTTCAGTGATGTTGAAGTAGTGTGATACATGACAAAATAATTTCCTCATAAATGATAGAATCCAGTGTTTTTGAGCAAAATATTGCCTAAACCATCATACTGTTTCCATTGGAATGTTTTCTCACAGTGAATCTTGGTGCCATCATCTCCACAGGATAATGATACACATTTGCTATCCATTGTATGCAAGAGAAAGACTCATCACACAATATGACAATATCATTTGTTCATATAAGGTCCAGTTCTGACACTAATGTACCCATTGGTTACCATAGGTACACTAATTGGCCTACAACTATACAAATCCACATGCTATAATAATCAATGTACTATGTATTGTAATGCATTCCTTTCTTTATTTTGATTAAAGATATCTGCAATTTATGCTACAGTATCCATTCTGTTAATTTGTTCTTGGTAGAAAAGTTTCTTTACCTTTTTGCATTGTCCAATGCTTTGTCAGTGATGGTGATTTTTTTTTTCTTCTCTCACACCGTTGCAAATAGATGTGAGCAACCCAAAAGCCATACCATTTAAAAAAATGCTGTGGTCTGTTTTTCTGGCCATAACAATATGGCCTTTGTCAAAGTCACTCAATGCTTTCTTTTTGCCCTTATTCAATATTATAAAATGAAATAATCAAGGTTGACTGCTTATAGACTTCAGAGTCTGGCATGTAGAGTTATTACAAGACAGTAGCTATCATTCTTGCCACTTATCGCATTTAATGTTTTGGCTTCTCAGTAGATATGCAAATAAGTTTTCCAAAAAACTGATTTCTGTTTTCTTGCATTCATTTTTTGATTGATGATTACTGCATTTTAAAATTAAGTCACCACAATAATAACTTTCTATCTTCAAAAGTTCTAAAGTTTTTTCATTTATTTAGTATATATCAAATTTTTCAAAGGTTTCTAATCTTAAATTTGGCACTGTTCCTTATTGGAAAAAAAATTAAATTTAAAAAAAAAAAATTTTAGTTTAATATTTTGTCTTTCATAAGCAAGAATAATTGTGCTTGAAATTAATGTTAAATATTTTTTGTCTTTTCAGAAGATGAGGATGACGATGTTGATGAAGAGGAAGAAATTGAAGTGGATATCAACACAGATGAGGCAGGTGCAACCAGTGCAAATGGAGCCACAGCCCGAATACAAATCAACACCACATTTGATAAATCCCTTCCAGTTGCTCATTCAGTAAGTTAAAAACCTGTTTTTTAGATGGATTAATTCTTTCATGATTTCTTTTAAATGCAAATATTTAATAAAAATGTAAAACTAATTATTTTAAAAGGTGTATTTTTTCTTCTTTTACTATTATGATAATAACATCATATTTTGGCATTTTTATTTTAATGCGTAAATTTAATTTCAAAACTTCTAGCACATTTGTCCTGTACAAATGGACTCTCATTTAGAGTAGACATGTTCAAAAGAAATGAAATAACAATACATTTAGCTGTGGTTAATGGAAATAATTAAAAAAAAAAAAATAGCAGGTGAAAATTTTGATTTTTTTTGTATATGTCAGTCACTACAGGTAAGGAAAAAAGAGGGGCTTTTGCTAGTCTTGTCAACTATTTGTTTATTTTGATGTATTTATACTAAAAGTATTGGAAATTATTTTGACATACTGTTATCAACACAGACATGTTGATATATAATACAAATAAGTATGTATATGGTACTGTTATTTTTAAGCTACCTAAATTTTCCTGAATCAGATAAATTTTGAATTCATATTTATTTTCATGAAATGAATATAAAAAAATAACAATCATTCATGCTTAAATATTCATTAAATTTATCCATCAAATTTACCTTATATTGGAGAACCCTGTGTTTCATCACTTGAAAAATGAATACTGTTATTTTTGTATGTTCTTCTTTCAATGATTATTATAAATGTTGCAAAAAGACCCAACTTAAGTGTAATTTTTTTATACTTGTAGCTTTTATATTTGTATAGACATTTTTCTTGTTTACAATTGTGACAGGACTAATATAGGTAGAAAAGAAAGAGAAAATGAAATAGAGGCATTCATATACGATTCTATCAGTTTTTGCTTTACTTAAGTGTGCACAGTTATCATTCTGATTCTATGCAGAAATGCCAAGAAGCAACACTTTGATCCTAGGCAAAGCACGCAGAACCAAAAGTGCCAATCCATATGTAAATAATTTCATCATTTTTGACAGCTACTATGCTAGTCTCTCTCAATCTCTAGTTTTCTAGTTCTTAGATATACCTATTTTAAGCAGAATATTTATGTAAAAATTAGTTAATTTTGAAATGTTTTTATTAATCAAAGAGTATAAAAATATTTGTTTTAAATTATGAAATTTTGTTTCTTTTCTATATTGTTAGTATTTAGGTGAAGATCTTGAAGATGTACGTGGACGTACAATTCATGATGATGAGGCTTGCATCACTCTTCCAATTATCACATTGCCGAGTGTCATTCTCGTGCCAGGGCAGACAATTCCATTACATCTATTCCAATCACACACAGTTGCCATGATGAAGAACCTTCTGGACAAGGACAAGACATTTGGAGTCATCACTACCAGGTGACATTTTTTTCTTTCTTTTTTTTTTAATCATCTGGCCCCAAGCAAAGTAATGTTCCACTGCTAACGGGGGGAAAATCCAGATGAAACTAGTCTTGACAGACATGTTTATACACGACTCTGAGCCTCTTTTGTGTGTGTGTGTGTGTGTGTGTATTGCATTTTAACAGATATATTACCAAAATTACGCAAAAATATCTTGAAATACTAAAGAGTAAATTGGTGTTACAAAGAGTTTCATTGGTCTCTTGCTCAACTCCGTCCCACACATAATCAAGTGGTTGCAGTTTAGAGAGTTAGGCGGCTAGATGTAAGGAGTGATTTGGTCGCAGAAATTTTCTTGACAGCAATGACTGGGTTCTCCTGCTTGTGTGTCATGGTGAAGAGTCCTATCGCTTGACATAGGGTCTTCCAGTAGCCACTCTCTTGACCCAGGGCAATACTACCTCCTCAAGGCACTTGATGTAGGCCTCCATGTTGAGTCTGAGGCCCTCACCAACAAATTTGAGATTTCTTTTCTTATCAGAATGATCAAAGTGAGTTTTCTGATCTGCCAAACCTTCATAATCACCATTAGACTCCTCCAACTCTTTTTGAATCCTCTGCACTGTTCTCAGATTGACACCCAAATACTCTGAAATATTCATATTGGAGCTTCCAGCATGAATACCAAGCAATAAAGCATGCCATTTCCAAATTTCTGGCGGAGTGGATTGTATCATGGTGCTCTTTTTCTCACAGATGGTTCTCAACTGACCCTACTATACTGTACAGTTGATAAAAAACAGACAACACACATGCATGAAATTAAAAATATATGATGGCAACAATTTATCTATAGCACTGTGTGTGTGTGTGTGTGTGTGTGTGTGTGTGTGTATGCATGCCCACACACTTGATATGGTCGAATAATTGAGTTAGTTGACTTTTTTCTTTAATTGAGGGTTTGACATTTTGGGAGTATCCTGTATGCACAGTTGTTAGTATTTAAAAAGAAGTACAGGTATCCCTCAATTTGTGTGGCTACTTGTACATTGTTAACTGTAAAAAAAAAAATCAGTTTTCAATTACTATGGTTAAACTGAAGAATGTTTTACTGCACTAATTGAGTATTATGTATGCACTATGCATGGTATTTAAAAATTTTAGTGCACTAATCAAAAGTGAATTAATCGAGGGATTACTCTATATCTGCCCTTGATTTTAAGTCAATATTTACTTTCTTTGTTTTCTGTATAGTTACTCTCCTGATGATAACTCCTCATCAATGGCCAGTATTGGTACCACAGCTGAAATCTACTCCATCAAAGATGAGACAGATGAACGGTCAGGTATTGCCACTGTTCGCATGAAGGCTAGAGGTCGTCAGAGGTTTCGAGTTATTGAATTTCACAGGCAGACTCATGGGTAAGTAAACATTATTGTAGTAACTTGCCAGTATGCTGTTAATATTGTGATTAAGAAAAAAAAAAGGTATTTCAATACATTATAATTTTGTGCACAGTGGAAATGAATTAGTTATATTGTCAGTACTGAAACTGTTACATTTGTAATAAGGGTAATAAAAATTTTTCTTTTCATCATTTTCACATAAGACAAAGAAAATTTCAGTTTCAATTTCCTAATTTTAACTTGGTGGAATAAGATGACCCCTAAATTATCAAACCATACTAAACAGCTGATATGGTGAAATACCAATAAAATGAATTAAATACACTGAAATAAATACCTTGACTGTATTAACACCCCCATGAAATATGATGAATTGCAAAACATTTCACTGCTTAATACACTTCCCAATTCACACTTGGTTCTTTTTATTAACTTCTGTCAAAAGTATACACACACTTCAGAGATGTTTTTTTTTCTTTTATAAGACCTTCATTTCTATATCTGACACATAAGTTTTTTTTTTTGTATTTTTTCCTCTATATGCTTGATGTAATATTTTTTTCTTTTATCAGTTAATATGTGTAAAGCAGTTTTTAAATGTGTAAGTTTTTTATTAATGTTATTTTTTTTCTGTTACAGGATATTAATGGCTAAAGTTCGCATATTACCTGAAAGAGTTTTACCTGACCATTTAGAAGGAGCTCGACCACAAAGCCATTACAGATTCTGTTGTTGTCCAGCCCAACAGGAATTTGTGAAGACAGCCATGGACAGTCAGGGACATGTGCTGGCTAGCATCAATATGCTCAAAAAAAGACAGGTGAATACATTGTTGATACTTGGGGAAGTGGGGAATGATTTGCTTCCAAAACTAAAGTAATAGCCAATAAGGATGCTTGGCACATTTAGTTTAAAAAAAAGTATTTTAATATCTTGTTATAGTTTTGCATTTATTCTTCATTTTAATGTTTAATGATTTGTTTCTCATATCTGTCTGGATATAAAAAAAAAAGAAAAGTGTCCTGCATAATTAAAGAAATTTTGTATTTTGGATGTATTGAAATGCAGTTTAAGCAAAAATAATTATCCCTCAATTTATAAGCCTAGCTTTTAAAATTTAAATAACTCATTATATTTATTTGATTAATTATAGCTTTGATCTAATATGATAAAAGAAATACTATTTTCTCTTAATATGATTTACAGGATACAGTGAGAGTATTAATTAGTTTTATTATATAGAAAATGTCGCCTCGTTGTTTTTGCATTGAGATATGAATTTTTTTTTAATTTTATTTATTTATTTTTTAATGTCATGTCCCTTCAGGACATAGGTAATCATGGCTCTCCACAGATTCCTTTTCTTTATTTGTGAATTGCCATGACACTTGGGAAAGATAGTGGAGTGGTTTCTTGTGCCTTCTCCACAGTTTTGAATTCAGACTTTTCCTTATCTTAGACTGGCTTCTGCCAAAGTCTAGAGAGTCCTATTTACCCTGCTATTTAACCTATAGCTGGAAATGAGAAATGAATAGATGCCTTTCCCAAGGAAGTAAATACATCAAACTCAACTCGAACTTAGATTCTGATCACCAATTCCACTTTCCAAGCCACTAACCATTATGCTACCCTCACATCTGAAGAAGAATTACAAATACAAAAGCAAAAGTTTATCAATACATTTTATTGGCAGACTGCTTTTTATATAAAAATGAGTAAATATCGGTTTCAATAAAATACTCTCTGGATGATAATTTATCCAATGATGCTGCTGTTCAAGATACAAGATTAAAATTGTTAGTTTTGTGAAATTTTTGCAGTGCTAAGTTTCTGGTAGTTTTGACATTCACTATATAGTTACAGAAATGTTTACTTATTGGAATTGAATGGCAATAAATTATTGGTGTCATAATGACTTGTTTCCTTTTTCTTCTATAGCTGAATAAATTTACATCATCCTATTTTACTCAATGGCCACCATGGGTATACAAGATGTATGATACTGTAAGTAGTAGTACTTTTTTGATCATTTGATATTCTTTTTTTTTTTTTTTTTTGCAAAGTTGTATAACAATAGGATACATATGTCATATGAATTGAGGGTCTTTATCCGTCCTTGCTTTCTTATAGGGTGTCAAGTAGCAAATTTGATTATGAATGTTGAAAAACCAGCACTTCAATTTTGTATTTTCTTCTTGTTAGCAGTTCAAATTTGCCCTGCTTATTTTAAAAGGAGTAAAAATTCAAAATATAGTAACCCTCTCCTTTCAAAAGTAGCCTAATCTGGCAACTATGCTGTGTTAACCCATTCTTAAGATAAGTTTTCATTTGAGTCTTATTTTAAATGTGTAAGACAAAATATTTTCTTTAACTTAGCTAGTAGTTGCCTGCAACTCGAGTTTAGGATTTTTCAGTTTATGCTACTTTCAACTTTGATTTACAGTATGCAATTATAAATAAAAATAAATTAACTTATTTTGTAAATAAGTGTCAATACTCATTTGTAACATTTTCAAGAAAAATTTGCTTAGTTGATGAAATTTTGACACAGAAAAATAGCATTCATTGTAGGATTTACTTGTAAATTTTGTTTCTAATTTTCTATTCTATTATATAGATAATATTTATAGAGCCATTATCATGATTTAATTTTCTGTTTAATTTCCAAGGAAAGCATTTGTTAAAACCTGTTCAAGATGTTTGTTTTTTTATTTTGTGAACTCATCAAAATATCAGTATCAGAAATTTTCTCTTTTTTTTTTTTTTTTTTTTTTTTTCAGGAACATTTAATTAATCGCATCCGCAATGAACTGTGCAGTTGGAATGATACTCTAAAGAAAGATTCCAATGATCTGGATCCAATTGACTTTTCATATTGGGTTCTACAGAATTTGCCACTTGATGACAGTCGTCGCATCCACTTGCTCAGTATTGACAGTGCAGTGCAGAGATTACGCTGTGAGCTTAGTATTATGCAGAGTGTAAGTTTGAAAAGGAGAAAATTCTGATGTCTCTTTCCAGATATTGCCAAATAAATACAAAAATAACATTTCATTCACACTTGTTATGGGCTCAGATAGGATTATAAAATTTTGAGTTCAAAGCATGATACAGCACAGATGGAAATTTGGGTTAGTTTTCCAGAATCCATAGATTAGGTTTTATTCACAGCAACTAATAATCTTGAGATTTAAAAATACAAGTATTTAACAATCAAGTATGCTTTAACATTTAATTTTACAAAAAGATAAAATTGTATTTATTTTGTTGTCTATATTGAGTTTCTCTATGTGAGAATTTTTTTATTAAATAATAGATAGGGATTTTAAATTGATTTTTTTTTCTTCTATCAAACTTTTCTTGGTGTTAAATATAGCTTTGTTAAGTGCAAGTTTGAAAAAACAGAATTGGTTACCAAACACCTAGTATAAATAGAAGGCATAAATGAGCCAACAAATAGATTAACTTTGTAGTGGCTTTCCTTTCCTCAAAGAAGTAATATATCACATTTGGTTGCATTTGCTCAAATAATTTATAATTGTCTTAAAAATAGATACTAAAAGATATAAGTCACTCAAATTCATCAACACTTAAGTGTTTGACACTTAAATTTCTAATTTTTATCATTAATGTCCAGCAATTTTTAACACTTTTTATTTAAAATAAAAATAAACACTCAAGTAATCAGTTATTTTCTTTTCTTTTTTCTTCATTTGTTCTAGTGCTCAATTTTATGTTGTCGAGAGTGTGACTTGGAAGTGGCAAACAAGAATGATGTTTTCAGCATGTCCCTTGAAGGTCCATTGGCTGCCTATGTCAACCCAGGAGGATATGTGCATGAGACTATCACTGTGTATAAAGCTAAGGGCCTTACCCTCATGGGGGACCCTTCAACAGAGAACAGCTGGTTTCCAGGGTAATCCACTTTTTTACCTGCTTGCTATGAACCAACAACTAATTGTAAATATTTACAGATGAATGAATGAATATGTGTTTGCTATTCTTCCCTGTCTAGTTTTGAGATTATATTTTTAAATCTTTCAATAGGAAAATATGACTCAAAATCCTTGTTTTATATTTGGGCCATCTCTGCAATCTGCATATATGGAAAAGAAATATTCATCAGAAGGAATTGAAGAAAATATAAAATTCCTTTTTGTTCAACTCGCAGAGAAAAATGAACTTAAATACACACAGTGATGTACAGAGGTTTGGTTATGTTTGGTGATGCCCAGTACCAACTATTTGATTCTATGTCTCTTAGACTCAAGTAGAGTTGCCTATAATACTAAGAAATGTGAGAAAGAAAGACATGTTAAATATGAAAAAACAGATGAAACATGAAGTAAACACTTTATTCAAATTAAATATAAATGCCCTCCTAATATGGATGCACAAGGCTGTTGCACTGACCCTGCCCTTAAACAGTAACTGAATAAAATCCTATGGGTTTTTCACAGTGATGGTGGATCTGTAGTTTTGATGTGGCTGTGCAGCTATGGATACAAGTGTGGCTCTACAGGTTGTCTTAAGTAGACAGGTCAGTAGAAATCAAATGCTCTTTAGGGAACAGACCTTTCTCTGTGGCAACATTCTCTGGTTGACTGTGATGCTCTGTTTCTACAGCATATTTTCCATGTGAGAAAATGTCAGAACAAGTTCAATAGAAATATCATACCACTGAATACTGTCTTTGTGGCCTTTGCATAGGTTCCCTCTATTTCTGTGTTCTTGTGCCAGTTCTCCAAACATCAACTGCTTTGGCGTGCAGTGGGCCCTCAAATCCTGATGTGGCCTGACCAATGAAGCTACAAATGAAGCATTGCTTTGATATGTATAATCTTGGCTCTGTCAAGGGCTTATGAATTAATGTACCTTTTCATAGCAAGGGTGAATCATGGGGCACATTGTTGAAACCTCTCCAGCTGTTTTATATTCACTATACTGTGCAACACACACACACACACACACACACACACAGAATGAATGAATGAATGAATTTGCACAGTCAGATTTGCTGCCCTCATTCTTATGTACATCCAGTCAAGGCATTATAGAATTCTTCAGGTATCTTGTTGATTATTTTTTTTTAATCATTTCACCCCAAGCAAAGCAATAAAGCCACTAAGATGCAAGGGGGGTACTGAGTGTGAAAGAATATAAGAAAAAGAAAAACATTATTAAAGAGAGAGAACAATAAAAGAACAGGAATTAAGAAGACAGAAGATAATGATTGATATTGTGTTTAAATTTTTTACTCTTCTACTGTATGTGGCTGAACTAGTTCTCTGATTGGCTGTTGGGGTATTTGATCCAAAGCAATTGGGCTCACTGTTGATGACCTGTTTAGCAGGGTTTTGAAGTGTTCTGCTCAATGGTCTCACATACCTTGTCAGTCTTTAAGAAATGTGAATTCATTTGCTGATAATAACAGGGTAGACCTCAAAGAACTGTTTTGAGTTGTAACCATCAAAATAGCTCTGTACTTCCTTAGCTTTTTTTGTCCTGCCACTTATCTTTTATCTCAAGCAGCTGCTTCTGAACCAAGGCTTTCATCTGTTTGTATCTGTCTTTTGATGGTCCATTCTACCAAGATACAGCAGCATGATTTTTCACCTGTAATGTGTTCATTGTCTCAGCAGACCAGTCTTGATGGACAAGATTGGTCTGATTTAGTCCAAGGATTGTTTTTGCAGTCTCAATAATAATGTTCTTAAATTGTTTCCATTTCTCAGTGATCTCTTCAACAAATGGTGCATGTGTCTTGGCACTGCCTGAAACTTTTGATGATTGATACAATGCCTAAGTTTTACTGTGTTGAATGCAGCTCTTTCTGTCTTTGAGTGTTTTCACTGGGTGGATAGTCACAAACAAGCAAGTAGCAATTGGCAAACACCCTTAGTCTTCCGAAAATTTTTTAAATTATTGTTGATTTTCAACTAGGATTTCTTTCATCTTAATTTCAGTTGCTTTTTGTCACATCTTCTCAGCCTGTTCTACTGAAATAAAGCAACTGTTTACTTATTGTCACAGAAGTACAGTTTGAGAAACTACAATAAAAAGCTACTGAAAGCAATGCTAATTGAAAATTTACAATAATTGATAATACTTAATCCAATAATAAATTCAACATAATACAGGGTGTGGCAGAAATACCTCCCACATAATGGTAAGACATTTGTGACAATGGTATCTTCATTTAGCAAATGTCTTACCATTATGTAGGTAGGAGGTATTTCTACTACACCCTGTCTTACTGCAAATAATATCAGTGTATGTAAATAAATATTACAGGTGGCAGCACTAAGCATTTGTAGGGAAAATAATGAATGGAAGTAATATATTTAGATTTGAGCTTCGATTAGTTGGGCCCTGTAGCTTAATCAGTAAGGCAGCTAAGATGGGCTTTCCATAGAAAAAGGAATGTATTCAAGCCTCTTTATTTGTGATCAGGGTGTTTTTGTTATTGACTAGAATGATAGTCTGAGTAGTTGTGATTAAAAGCAACAGAAATTAAGATGAAAGTGCTAGTTCAAAATTTTTAATAATGAATTTAAGATAATTTAAAAACATAATTTTCTGTTTTTCTTACTTTTCTCTTTTTGTTCCAGGTATGCTTGGACCATAATTAAATGTAGTCGATGTGGCGCTCACATGGGTTGGCGTTTTACTGCAGCTAAACGAAAATTGTCTCCTCAGAAATTTTGGGGTTTGTGTCGTGCCTCCTTGATCCCTGGAATCAACAACACTGATGTCTTAGTGTTATGAGCTGTGTATTTACAATCTTCTCCCCAACCCATGGAAAAAAAATTCTCATTGTCTCTTTGTATGTTATGGACAATGTTATGCCAGCTTAGACAATTTTTGCTGACTCCCATCTGGCTCCCTGAGCTTTTAAATCCTCTACATCCTCCCCTTTGCTATCTGTTGTGGCCAGACTTTAAAACTCTCTCCTCTCCTATATCCCTGCCCCTTCAACAACAGAATGATGAGTTTCACAACCCATTCTTTAGCTCATCATGGTAGTACCGGTCAGCATCTCTATACAAACAGTTTCTTTTTCCTTTCATTTTTTGCTAAAATATTATTTTGTAGACAAACAAATATTTGTCGGGTGTTCTTTTTTTCAATTTTCTTTCTTTTTCTTTTTTTTTTTTTTTTTTTTAATTTATTTTCTTTTTATTTAAGTTTGAAATAATTACAGGTTTTTCACTTTTCCCTCTTTCTACATCTATTCAGATGCACAAGCTTTGCTAATGTATCAATCAGATTTATGTTAATGCAAGTTTTTTTTTTTTTTTTTTTTTTTTGTAGTTCAAGTTGAGTCACTTTTTTATCACCTTATAGCTTCAATGTTCAGATGTTATTGTGAAAAAAAAACCTTGTACAGAAGTATGCATCGATTATAGATTGCAAACATTAGCCACCATCTTTGTAAAAGATGCAAATTGATTAGAATGATAAAAAGTAATGTAATAGTGTTAATAAGGCTGTCAAACCATCAATTCTAGTTATTTCTCTTATCTACTTTACAAACAAGTTTGGATAAATAATTACATTTATCTTATATTGAATGAAATACTATAAAGTATAGAAATAGTATTTTGATTAAATTTGTTTCCTTACATATATAACAGTATCTATATTTTAATTTATATGAGTAACTTTAGATGCAACTTGCCATCATTGATGATCATCTCATCATCTCAAACCAATAGAAATGTCATCTTCAATTAGACTTGGTGACATTGTCTTCGTACTTCTTAGATTTCAGCTATATGTTAGTTTTTCATATTTCTAACTTTGTAGACTAGTGTTTAAACAATTACAAGAGTAAACTGTAAATACAGGTGAATCAAATTTGATAAAATTTGGATGAGAGATTTTAGAGAACCTTTATAATCAAAAACTATTAGAATTTACTTTGTTCAATAGTGCACAAAAATTCAAACTGTAAAATTTTGCCAGAGGAAACTTAACTGTTTACTTTTATTATTTGATATATACTTATTTGGAATTGTTTTTGTGTATGTGATATATAAATAGTAAAAATATAGATAAATTTAAAGAAATCTTACGATACAATATCATCTGAATATTGTTGTTTTGTATGGAATTAATTTAAAACAATTCATGTTTGCAAATGACTGACTGTATAAATTCAACCACTGACAGTGTCAGTCTGTTTAAATTTTTTATTGTATTGTTTTCAATTTTTGAATAAATTGTTGCAAATCCAGATCAAAATTGTAGTTAAACTGTTTGAAGTTCATGTTTTTATTTTGTTTGAGTACTTTCAATTATCCTTATCATTATCAATAACTAAATGGTGTCAATGTTATAGAAAAATCTGTTCGCTACATCCTGGGATTTTTTAATCTTTTTTTAATGTTACATTTCAGATTTAAATATGTGTAGAATGCTTTTGCAGAGCGTGCCAACTCTAAAAATAAGTATATAGATATTTTATATACATGGTGTCACTTATATGCTAAATGTATATTTAAATTTAAAATGTAACATTCCAGAAAATGCCAGGATGTAGCTAACAAATTCTTATCTATGATGCTAACAATATTCACTTCTTGATGAATGACTAAAGTGGTTAAAAGAAAAAAAATAATAAACTTTGGACAGTTTATTCATAAGTTTGATCTGGATGAGCAACAACTTACTCAAAAATTGGAAGAATACAGTAAAAAATTAAACGTATAGACCATGTCTGTAAAATTTAATACATTCTGTTTAAATGAATTCCTGCTGTGTGTGTGCATGTATGTATGTATGTATGTATATCTATCTATATATATTTTGTTTTGTTTCTTTTCCTTTAAAATTTGTTGCACATTTGTGCTTATTTACTAAGCACTAACAATTTTACAAGCTTATAGTTTATTTTAGAAGTCAATAGTTGAAACATTGAAAAACTGAATAACAAACAAATATACACAAGATTGATGTTGTTCAAGATTAACTTATTTTTTGCTGGTCATTTCATTAACATCCTTAATTTAGTAATCACTAGTTTAAACAACACTGTAAATTTCATTAATTATAGTATATATAATAATAGCATTAGTATTATTTTATTCAAGAAGATTGGAAAACACTGGTCTAAAAAAAAGACATTTTGAAGAAAATATGACTGTCAGTCATTTTAACAACAGATTATCTAGAGATTAAATATCAGTTTATTATTTCAGTAACAAAATATGACTGAAATGAGCATTTATTGATTTACTTTACTGAGAATAATCTTCTGTTGTGGTATCTTTGCTTTCATCTGTATCATTAAATTGTATGACTTTGGTATATTTCTTTTAAAAGAAAAAGAAATGTTCCTTATAGAATTTAAAAAATACTTAAGATGTATTTTCATGTTGCTACATAATGTAGCAAAAATTCACTACATTATCAAAGTTGATTTTTTTTTATTCAATCTTAATCAACAAAGTTGAATTAAAATTGTTCATTGTTAAAAGTAAATTGTAAGTTAATTTTGATTTATTGGTTAATTAGTAGTGTTTATAACTCTTCCAAAATGTCAAAATAAAAATACATTCAATTTATTACAAAATATAAACAGTAATTTTCTTTACCTCTAACAAAATGTCCACTATAAAAGAATACAATTAAGCTGGAGAATGAGTATTGATTTCTATTACACATATTCAGAATGCAGTGTAAGATTTTCTTTTTCTTGGTAAATTCCAAGTATATTTATGTGTTTTTATTTAATCTTTGAAAACAGCTACAGATGCATCAATCTTTCATGTAGATATTTACTTAGGTACCTTCATGAGATCGCTAAAAACAGAGCATAGCAGGATGAAAAAGATGCCAAACTTGACAAAAACAAAATTTTATCGTCTAAATGTTTATGTTATTATTAAGAGGAAAGATCAAAGTATTTTGGGGGTATTTTCTTTACATTTTTTAATCGTTCCTAGCACGTCCGAAATTTTCGTTTAAAGTCTTTGTTTTTTTTTTGTTTTGTTTTTTTGAGTCAGCAAAATCAAGCATTTTTTTTCATTTTATAAAAAAACTGGAAATCTCACTTTGAAATTCTTTTAAATATCAATTATCATTTTTTCAAAACTTATTTTAAGAAAATCAGAAATTATAATGTTTATTTAAAATATTTTGAACAAAGCTTAACTTAGCTTCTGCGTCAAAAAAAATGTAATTTGAAAATAAAACAAAGCAGGTCATAAACTTTTGCGTCACTTGACAGGTGATGAATGACATTGACGGAGGCTAATTTGTTCTACGGAAGGAGAAAAGTGAAATAATTTACATTTAAGTGAACAAATAATTTACTTTGTTATTTTTAAGGAAAACTTTCAGTGCTCTAATTTTTTTTTTTTTTGTACTTAGCTTTCACCTTTACGTTTACGATGCTTTATGGAAAATATATTATAAAGAAATTAAAATAAAACTGTTAAGAGTTAGATTAAATTTCATATTTCATAAGAAAGGTATCTAATTAATTTATAGATACCTTTCTTATGAAATTTTATCAGAAGTTTACATAAAATACTATAATTTTATGTACATTTATTACATTTGACTGTGTTATTTGTATTTCCATTCATTTTATTATTAATTTTGATATTTCATTTATGGAAGAATGTCATAACTGAGATTAATATAAAAATAAGATCATATAAATTTCATAAGATGATACTGATACTTGTAGGTACCCTTCTCATTTGAAATTGAAAAATCAAATTAACTTCTCCACACGTGTTTCGCAAAAATAAATCTATATCTCAAAAGGACATTTACAAAACTGAATGCAGCTTTTAACTAATTTTATAATATTTTAACAACTTAAATGTAAAAATCTATTATAATTAAAGAAATAACAAATAATTGTATTAAAAATTCAGTATTTAAGTTAAATACTAGATAGAAACTCAATCCACGTGATGTTTTTTTTTTTATACTTCCGGTCTTCCGTAGATTTGATTTACAGTGTTATTATTGACACAAATTATATTTTTTTTGTATACTGTTGTTCGTTAGTTTGTAAAAAACTTTGGAAATTATAATCTGTAAATATATATCTACTTAATAACAACATTCGTTAAATTTTGCCCTAATTTTAGAAGAATTAATGACATTTAATGTAAAAATAATAAAATATTTCAGAAATAACAAATAATTGTTTTAAAAATTCATTTTTCATCGAAATATCTTTTTGCTTTCAGACAATATTGTCCAAGTTCATTGAAATAAATAAAAGCAATGAAAAGCTTTTGAAATTAAATAATATTTTTGTTTTATTGAGTTTTGTATGTTACAATTCAGAGACGATTTTCAGGTAGAGGTGGTCCAACTAAAAAAAAAAAAAAAAACATGATTTGGTTTCCTCAAAGCCTTGTGCTTTTAACTAATATAATCACTAATCTTCCCAAAATTGAAATTATAGAGTTTTCGTACAATTAGTTAGGAGGGGGGTAATACATATGAAAAAAATATTTCTGCCATGACTTCAATAAAAAAAACATATTTATAATAAGTTCCATCATTTGTGAATAGTTTCTGAAAGTTTCATTAAAATCCGACAATTATTTTTGCAAGATTTTCCAAATTAATGTGTCATACAGGAAAAAACATGCTAAAATTTTGTTATTTTACTAGTTCCAGTGATACAAAGAGAAACAAGGTTTTTTTTTAATCAAAATTTAGAATGTTCTAAAAAGAAGGAAAAATTTTTAAAAATAATTAAAATAAACTTTGATTTTTCTTCTCAATAAGCATTT